TTCAGATGACCAATAGACACATGAAAAAATGCTCAAAACCACTGGCAATTAAAGAGATGCAAATCAAAACCACAATTAAATACCATCTCACCCCAGTAGCAGTGGCAAAGTTGGAGAGAATATGGCAAGAAGAAACTCTTAGACATTGTTGGTGGGATTGTAAAATGATAAAACCACTCTGGAAGGCAGTTTGGCGTTTCCTCAAAAACCTGAACACAAACTCAACAAGATCCAGAAATTCCACTACTAGGAATATACCCCAAGGAAATCAGAACTGAGATACAAATGGAGATTTGTACACCAATGTTCATAGAAGCATTATTCATTATTACAAGAACATGGAAACAGTTCAAATGCCCAACCACAACCAAATGGATTGCAAAACTGTGGTACATTCACATAATGGAATACTACGTAGCACTAAAGAGCAACAATTTTGAAAAATACTATCTAACTTGAGAGGGACTGGAGAGCATTATGTGGAGTGAACAAGTACGCAGCCTCATAAAGACATACACTGCAGAAGATCATTATAGTAAAAAAAGAAGGATAACTACTAAAACATGCATGGGAGATCAAGGGTGGGAGTAGAGGGGTGAGGATGGTAGGGATGACACAGCAGGGTTGCAGTTTAGTGGGTGGAGGCAAGGGGGAAAGGAAATGGGAAGGATTTGGGTGAAAAGACAGGGTAGTGAGGGGCAAAGTCCAGTGGTGATTAATTTTATAAAACATCATCATGTATGTGAATGACTGTATGAAATACAATGTGAATTATGAATAGTGTAAAAAACAATGTATATGAACTTTATAAGCATATCAAGAAAAACCAAAACAAAAAATCTCTTCCAGACTGAGACATGAGGGGGAAGCAAGCTTGCTAGGGAGCACAGGACTAACAGTGATGAGTCCTCCCATCTTTTTACCTTTCATACCCCAAACCAGGGGCTAGCTGTCAACAAGCAGACAAAAACACACAGGCAAAGCCCACAAAGTTTAATGCACACCAAAACCCAGCAGGCTGCTCACGGCAAAGCTCTGCTGAGTTTCCAGGACAGTGAATTACTATGGGAGGAGACTGCCCAGATTTGCCCCTGAAGAAGATGATGGATCTGAACCACGGACTTTAGGCTGACAGTCCAGCACGTAGAGCGGTGCCTCACCTAGGCTCCTTTCTGCCGTCTGGCTCACTCACTAGACCACAGCTGCAAACCTTTGCATAGAGACTGCTCATCTTTCTCCCATGGAGCTGTTGGTGGTTTAACTGTCAGAGAGGCTCAGCCTTTTGGTCAGCAGAGCACTCCTAAACACAGTCTAAGGGGCAGGAAAGGGGTAGCCTCACAGGGAGCATCACTCATAACAATAGCTCCCTGTCTAAACATGAAGAAAATGCAGCCCTGGCCCAGGGAAATGGTAGGCTAGGTTCCAATGAAGAAAGAAAGGTCATCTCTTCCCACACAAGTTACAGCTCAGAAACCCAAGAGGACGGGAGCTCCTAGCCCACGAATGAATGAGCAGCCTGGAGCACTCCCACACTCAATCACTGGGCGACTGCAGCTTAGTGTGAGGATGGAGCTGGACGCAGCAAGGCTTCGCTATGTTGTACGCAAGGCTGCTGTAAATCAGAGTCAAACAGTAACAATAATCACCTAACCACTTAAAGAACTAATGAAAGTATCCCTACAGATAACACATAGAAAGAAATGGGATATAGTATTTCTTAAAAATCAATTTCCAATCAAGTGCTGAAAAAGTCACCTTATACATGTTCTAGAGTCTCAACAACTGCAAATAAAACATAATCTCCTGGAGCTCTGGTGGCCTAGTGGCAAGAAGCCGCACTGAATCCTGAAGGCACACAGTTCGAATCCACCAGATAATCTGCTGGATAAGGAGTGGTAATCTTCTCCTGTGCCAGCTGGACCCAATTCAACGGCACACAACAACAACAAAATAAACAACAAACAAATAACTTGCTGTCAGGCACCTCTCCAAAGCACTGAGGAGCAACGATTAACCAGTTTAAAAACTAAAGTGCGACGCTTCAGGCCAGTCTTTTCAATCACTAACTATGCATCTGAGAGCTGGACAATGAATAAGAATGAAAAAGAATCAATGCCTTTGAGGTGTGGTATTGGAGAAGAGTACTGTCTATCCCATGGATTGCCAGAAGAACAGGTTTGTCTTCGAAAAGGTGCAGACTGCTCCTTGAACACAAGGATGATGCTTCATCTCACATACTTTGAAAGACTCCGACACATCTACCCCCATTGTCCTAGTTACTGTATCAATCTATCTCACCCAGGGTCTTCCTCTCCTGCACTGTCCCTCCACCCTTCCAAGCATGTTGTCCTTCTCCAAGGATCAGTCCCTCCTGGCCACATGCCCAAAGTATGTGAGAAGGAGCTTCAAAATCCTAGCCTCCAAGGAGAAACTTGGTTTCACCCTCTCCAGGACAGACCAATTTGTTTTCTTGATGGTCCATGGTATGCTCAAGACTCTTCTCCAGCACCACAGCTCAAAAGCATCAATTCTTCTTTCATTCTTAATCACTGTCCAGCTCTCTGATGCATAGCAAGTAATTGCAAAGACCATGGCCTAGATTAGTTTCTAGACTAACATCGTTGCTTTTCAGCACTCTGTAGAGGTCACTGACAGCAGATTTTCCCAGTGCAAGTTTGCTTCTGATTTCCTGACTGCTGGTGCCAGTAGTATTGATTGTGCAACCGAGCAAGCTGTAACTGTTGACAACCTTAATCTCTTCTCCATCTATCACAGTGCTGCCAGTTGGCTCAGTGGTGAGAATCTTTGTCTTCCAGATGTTGAGCTTCAATCCATATTGAAGATACAGTCCTTGACCTTCTGCAGCAAGCACTTCAGGTCCTCTTCAGTTTTAGCAAGCAAGATTGTGTCATCTGCCTAACATTGGTTGTTGATGAGTCTTTCTCCAATCCTGACGCCACATTCCTCCTCATATAGCCCAGCCTCCCAAATGATCTGTTCTGACTATACATTGAAAAGGAATGGAGATGGGACACATCCCTGATGCACTCTTTTCCTGAACCATGCAATGTTTCCCTCTGTTCTGAGAACTGTTTCCTGGTGTAAGAAAGGGTTTCGCAGAAACACAATCAAGTGTTCTGGGATTCCCATTTTCCTCAAGGTTAGCCACAACTTGTTGTGATCCAAACAGTCAAATGCCTTTGTATACTCAATGAAACACAGATAGACATTCCTCTGGTACTCTCTGCTTTCTGCCAAGCTCCATCTGACATGGGTGATGTCTCTAGTGCCACAGCCCCTTCTAAACCCAGCCTGTATCTGGTAGTTCTCTGTCAGTGTTGTTGAGCAGATTGTTAGGAGGGGTTATTCCTTGGAAAGAGACATTATACTTAGAAAAGTGGAAGGTCAGCAAAGGAGAAGAAGACCCATAAGGAGATGATATGACACAGTGATTGCAGCAACCAGCTCAAGTGAATCATGGAGGATGAGGACAGCACAGGAACAGAAAGGGTTCAGATGTGTTCACAGGGTCACTATAAGTCACCTGGCACCTAACAAAAACAATCTTGTTACAGTTTAAAAAATGACCCAATATCACAAAGCAGGTAAGTAAATCAAACAGGATTACAAAGCTCTATCACATTCTAAAGTGTACTCTTCTGACCATATGTTACAGACTCATGAAGAGCCAAGGCAAAGACGCTCTGAAAAGCAAATTCAGAAGCAGCAGCTGATGCCCTTTCAGAGAAATGTCTGGATGTCCTGCCTTGCATGGAAGGGAATTGTTCCTACAACACAATGTCACAATGGCTCACCTACACTGCTGAAATCACACACAGGATTTCAATACTGACATGGCACAAATTTTTCATTAAGGCTGTTCAACAGATTCTGATTCTTTTTTCACACTTCAAGAATCACAATAATATTTTATTTTCAATAGTTAACCTCATCAACTTTAGATGTAGGCCCAGGTTTCAACCAAAGCCTCTAACAGTCCTATCAAATTTACAAAACAGGGTTTAAAGAAATATACTACTCTTTGGGTTAAAATAGAACTTCACTATCTGCAGGATACAGTATTTCCCCTTTCTGAACGTTTCCTTTCCTAGTTACTATAATATTTTTCAATGTTGCCCTCTTCTCATTGGAGAAGACATACTAGGAAGACCAAATACAAGGACACCACGTTGATTCAGAGCCTAGCAAGCTGGCAGCGCCCGCTGTACAGCTGTAAATCTCCACAGGTGCATATTGCCTCGCTTTCGTACATTGCAGAGCCTTCTTCAGGTTCTACCTGCTCTTTTGGTTAGGAGTCTAAAGTGAAAAATGAATTAAATCCAACACACATTCAACTGACTTCCGTCTTAAATCAGTCTCTAAGTTTTAATTTGGCTATAAAGTAACTATGGCTCTATTGAACAATGTTACTTGAGTTCTCACTTCCCATTACGAAAAACCCAGACATTCCTGTTAACAGTGATTTTAGGAAAAACCCCTAAGTGTCCTCACACTTTACACGTGCGGCAGTGACTCTCGGCCATTGAGAACAACGTAGTTAAGGTACAATTGTGACAATGTATCGGGTCATACAAGTTACGTTTTGGCAACTTATTATTTTGTAACTGTCAGTGGAGTAAACATCATTTTACTCAATAGGGAGTAACTCTCCAGCCCAATCTGATGAATCTGGTTTATGCTTCTGATTTATGGGGTCTTCAGGACATCAATGGGATGAGAAACAGGCCTCACGGCCCCCATGGCCCCAGGACGGCCATCTGTGCCCTCCCCCACCCGCAGGGCGGACACACCCGGCACCTGGGCCAGGCCGGCCCGATGGACTGTCCAGATGCAGCCAGCAGCGGATGCGGGGCAGCCTCACCAGACCCCTCCGGGGTCGCAGGCCGCGAGTAGGCGGCCGGGGTGTAAAGTGGGGTGCTCGGCCCAAGGGCCCCGAGGGTGTGGGGGCGCGGACGGGACCCCGGCGGCCCCGCTATTACCTGCTGTGCCGCTCGGCCCCCGGCCCGGGCCCTGCCGCGCTGTAGTAGGCGGCGCGTTTGCGGTTGGCAGCGGCGCCTGCCGCGGCGCTGCGGACCGGGTACAGAGGGATCTGGTCGGCCATGCTCCGACCGCACCGCCGCCCAGCCCGCCCCGCTGCCCTCCGTCACCGCCCCCCGCCGCCCCTCCCGGAGCCAGGCCGAGCGCGTCGGGGGACGATGACGTCAGCGGCAGGCGCCGCGACGCGGGGGCCGAGGCCCCGCCCCACCGTGCGTCGTCGTTCAGTGACGTCATCGAGCGGCAACAGCAGGAGCAGAAAGGCCGAGCCCCTGCCCGCCTCGTGTCGGCGTCCCGTGACGTCACCGCGGGCCAGCCGCCTTGGAGGGGAAGGCGCATGCGCGGGGGTGTGCGTCAGTTCTGGGCCGAGCACGTGGCCGCGGTGTGGTCTGAGCGTTTTGTCTGGCGCTGTCAGACCTAGAGCAGCCTCCCCTCGGGGTTCTATTCTAGGTCGAGAACACAGAGCTGCTGATACATCGAGCCTGGCTGTCACCTGCATTGGTCCCAGCAGGAGCGACGGGCGCAGCTGGTGACCTACCTTAGGGCTGGCCAGTGACATGGGCACTGGTCCAGAGAGCCCGAAGATCTCAGAAGACAAGTGACTTTCACAAACCCCGGAAGGGGAGAGAAGAGTTCTCAGGAAGGAAGTGAAGGCTTACCAACCCTGGTGAGTCCCCCTGATCCCCAAGGTCTCCAGAGGCACCCACTGTGGGACACAGAATCACAAGATGCCTGAGAGAAGAGAAGGGTCGCACTCTCCAAAAGGTACCCACTATGGTGACCTGAAGATACCGGAAAACATTCCTAAATTCAGATGGGACGCAGACCTCCCTAAGTCTGTTGTTGGGTGCCTTCCAGTTCAGTAGGGCTCATAGCGACCTTATGAACAAAAGATCTGAACCCTGTTGTATCCTGCGCCTTCCTCACTCTTCTGCCAGACTAAAGCCCATTGCAGCAGTCACATGTCAATCCACCTAGTTGAGGGTCTTCCTTTCCTTTGCTGACCCTCCACCCTTTCCAGCATCATGTCCTTTTCCAAGGAATAGCCCCTCCTAGCAACATGTCCAAAGTATGTGAGTCAAAGCCTCACCATTCCTTCCTCCAAAGAGCACGCCGTCTGCACCCTCTTCAAGACATACCTGTTTGTTCTTTTGGCTATCCATGAGTGTTTAGTAGTCTTCTCCAACACCACAGCTCAAAGGTGTTAATTCTTTTTTTGTCATCCTTATTCATTGTACAACTGTCAGATGCATAGCAAGTAATCTGAAAGACCATGGCCTGAATCACATGCACCTTAGTCCTCAAACTGACATTATTACTCCTCAATAATTTGGAGAGGTCCCAAACTGCAGATTTTACCAATGCAATGTGTCTCCTTATTTCCTGACTGCTTGTACCAAGGGTATTAATTGTGGATCCAAGTAACATGAAGGAATTGACAGTTTCAATCTCTATCCATCATGATACTGTCTGTTGGTCTAGTGGTAAGAATCTTTGTTTTCTTGATATTAAGATGCAGCCTATACAGAAGGCTGCATTCCTTGATCTTCTGCAACAAGTGCTTTAAGTCCTCACTTTCAGCAAGTAAGGTTGTGCCATCTGCATAACACAAGTTATTAATGAATCTCCCTCCAATCCTGATGCCACACTCCTCTTCATAGAGTTCAACTTCTCAGATGATTTACGCAGGTATGGAGATAGAATACAATCCTGATGCACTCCCTTCACAACTTTAAACCATGCAGTGTTCCCCCTGCTCTGTTCACACAGCAGCTTCCTAGTCCAGGTATAGGTTCCACATGAGCAAAATTAAGTGCTCTGGGATTCCCATTCTTCTCGATGTCAGCCACAACTTTTTACTCACAGACTCAAATGCCTTTGCATAGTCAATAAAGCACAAATAGACGTTCTTGTATTCTTTACTTTCAGCCAGGATCCATCTGACATCAGCAATGATATCTCTGGTGCCATGGCCTCTTTTAAATCCTGGTTGAACTTCTGGCAGTTCCCTACCTATGGACTGTTCCAGCCATTTTTTAATGATCTTCAGCAGTACTTTGCTTGCATGTGATATTAATGATACTGTTCAATAGATTGCACATTCAGTTGGATCACATTTCTTTTTTTTAAATTTTTTTTATTTTTAAGCAATTTTACCATTTTTTTAATTTCTTTTTTTGATTTTTTTTTTAATAATTTTAATGAACATTTACAGAGAATTTGGATTTCCATTCATTCATTGCTGCACTTCTCTACCTGCCCAGCCCTCTCCCCCTGCCCCCCAGTTTGCTCCTCTCTTTCAAAGTAAAAGA